ATCTTGATCGGCATTTTAGCTAGAATATCCGTTCCCAACAAACATAGGACTGCAAGAGATGATGAGACCGAGACTGGTCCTGACAACTTAATATCCCCAATGCAAATACCCACCCGGATTTGAATCACAATACCCAAAGATCCTCCGTTTGCCGCGTAACATGGAACGTCTACTGGGAGTAAGGGTCAACATTGAACGGGAAGTATATTGTAAATAAGGTCGGAAATTATCATTGCCGACGCCCCCGTGTCGACCAAAACCCGAACCTCGACACCCTAGATCGATCCTGTAACCACGGACGAGCCGGCCGAAACAGCCACCACCCTATGGGCCAGCTCGGACCATTCGCCTGGTCAGAGCACCCGTACAAACTCCCCTCCCCTCACTGAACCGGTACCCAAATCCCGTGGACCGTCAGGCGGGGGGCGGTGACTCGTGTGCAATGTGTGAGTGGGCCGAGCATGTGTGGTGCAGCAACTTGCCAAGGACTTTTGGGATGACTTGGGACCTTGGGCGTCGTCCGGCCGAGGTCCTTTCGGTGTGCTGACGCGGAGCCCGGCACCCAGAAGCAACATGGCCCCGGAGTCCGCAGTTGTAACATGTGATGAGGGCCGTCGCTGGTTTCAGTTGCTTGCGTGCCATGCGCTGGGGCGACCGACCTCCCGACCTCCAGTCCCCCGAACGTGCCGTGGCGAAGACCTCCTCTTGCGGTAGAGCACCTTGTGGTTCGCTGGGCGCTGAGGCTGAAGCTGAGGCGCAGGCAGCGATGGGCCGTTTCCGTTTAAGGACTTCTTGCGCATGAATGCGCGTAGCGACTCGCAAGGAGAATATATCAACCTCATCTGCCGCGTTGATGGGAACACCCAACTCTTGTGCCAGCACCAAAAGCTGCTCTGTGACGATTGCGTCTATGCCTTCTTCATCCATATGAGGAAAAGTGGTGTCAGCGAGAGCCAGAAGTGCATTGCGATAGGCGAGAGGAGTTTCCATCTCCCCCTTACGGCGACCGTAAAAGTGCTGTCGACTGGCAGACGGTGGTCCGTAGAACCTGGCCATCAGCTGAAGTGCTGCTTGCAGTGTAAAGCGGTCAGACCTTGGAGTCGCCATGAGGGTGGCCAGAGCGTCATCGTTCAGAGTCGCTGGGAGCACGCGCAGTGCCTCGGCGTCGGTCCATCCCGACATCTCCTGGTGAGCGAGGAACCGCCGTTGAAAAGCTCCCCAGTTGCCTCCTTCTGCTTGAAAGGCCATCAACACGGGCAGTCGCTGCTGGAACGTCTGCTCTGCTCCCGGCTCCTGATTTTCCTGCGCAGCGCCGCCGTACAGTGAAATGGCGACTTCTCCCGCAGAGGCCACAGGTTGGTCACGGCGACGTCTGTCACATAGAGATGACGTGGCAGGCGGTGATTGGAGACCCTCTCCCACGTGGTGCTCCTGGCCTCCACCACTCGGGGCACTGGTTGGTAAAATGGCGCCAAATTCAACCTGCATTGCGGTGCCCGTGGCGGGAGCCTGTGTTTGGCGCCAATTTCCAAGTCGCGATGCAGTGCTGGCGGGAGCCGCCGTTTGGCGCCAAATTTTTCCGCGTTCATCAGCTACCCCTCCTCCGGACTGGGTAATCTCCGCCAGTATGGAGGCAGCGGCGAACAGCAATTTAGCAAGTCGGGAGTGAGCGTCCTGGAGCCCACCCCCCAACTTCAGCTGTATGTCAGGCGGCCGCGATGGTTGTTGTAGCATCTGCATCACCTCAGATTCCCCGTCCGAGGCCTGCTGACTCGTCTCCTCATGGTCGTCACTTTGGCCCGGGTCGTGGGCACGAACTGTCTTCCTCATATCCATCTCGTGCAGACAGGACCACTTCTGACTCCAGTTGTAACGGGCGTATGTGACGCAGGAGAAGTTGATGGAGGCAACACTATTTATTACAATTTGATTCAATACAGTAGAGTTATGACTCTAACACTCAAAGAGGTATCGGCCTCTTCACCCGGTCTATTAGAGGAAGTGTTCCCCAGCTAACGCTCCCCGTTAACTCCTTACTTCCCTATATCCCAGACCTTCCCCAAATGTAGGCTAATTAACCTGGCCCAGCTTTGGCACAGGTTCCGACTCTCAACCACACAAGTCTGGCCCTTACAAGGACATCAGACCTCACTGCTTTGAGGTCGCCACTGGCTTGCCCTGCTCGGCTTTTACAAGAACAGCGAGCCAGGGTAGTTCCAGGTCTAGCTAGCTGGCTTTCAGTCTTCACTGGCTCTTCATCTTGATCTGTACCCAACGACTGCCTCGAGCTCTCTCGCTCTCCATCTTATATACCAACATGCCCTCGAGGGGTGGGGCTGTGTGGGATCCCAGCCTCACCCCCACACAGCCCCCCAGGTTGGAAACTGTTTGCGGACGTGGATGTAGACACCCCAGTGTAACTGCCCGTTTCTCCCCGTTACGTAACACCTCTACACATAACTTACCTCCGTCTCCGAGTGCGTCCGTGGGAGCTTTTCTACACATTGTTGAATGCCACCAGACAATAAGTCTAAGTTCCATTAACTTAATTAATCCTGACTAAACTAAATCTGACTCTGCTGATGAGACACTGGATGTCACTTGATGGAAAATATATAGGAAGGCCACTTCGTTACTTTTCATTTTATAGTTTGTGTTTAGGGGAATGGTTTAGTGTTTATTTAGAGCCAGGGGTTATACTTTCTTGGTTTGGCATTACGTTTCGGGGCGTGGTCATGTTGCCTAGCCGTGGAATATTCACAGCTTGTTTGCAGAGGTCTATGACTCCATTCCAGTGGCCACCCTGGCTATTAGTACAAATGCGGGCCTCTTAAACATAACAATACTACATTCCCTCTACGTCAGGGTGGATATGAATGATACTGTGGCGTAATTCGCAAGCGTAGCTCGTTTTTTGATGGCGTCATTGTCCGAATTAGATAAATTAAACTGAATTGGTAATCATGGCCCCTGTGACCAAATTAGAATTATCTTAATTTACACTGTGCATATTGGAGAGGTTGTGTATGAAACGGAGGAATGCAATTCGAGGGAATATATTTGAAACCTCCCTGTGAACATCCTGGAATTGGTATGATCTGTATTGAGAAATATCCTCGGTTAAAAGTGTAGGGGACTGTAAGGAGAAAGTGTTAGAGGGTACAAGTTGAAATAATTGAGAACAGGTGGCCAGAAGGTACTGTATAGATTATTCAATAAATAATAGACGTTGAGATGATTGGGCACAGGTGGCTGAGGGGCGCCATAAAGGGGACAGCGAAATGTACACGTTGAGATAATTGAAGACACGTGTCATAGGGGGGTGGAGGGCACTTTCCGATCGGGGCGGGTATTAAAGGGGAGCAATGCCCGTAGTCTGGGCGCTTGCCCAGAGATCAATAAGGTGGACGACATCGGGGCTCACTGGTTGCGAAACGACAATAGTGGAAATGATCTGGGCTGACTGATCGCGAGGTTGTAAATACGATATTATCTAGAAATAAAGACTTCACCTTTTTAAGAATGGACTTCTCCAAGGAGCTTCACAAAAGTGTAGAGGTGTTACGTACCGGGGTGTACACCACGGTCCGTGCGTGGGGTGTCTACATCAACGTCCGCATACAGCCCCGCCCCTCGGGGGGCAGTTGGGTATATAAAGCGGTGCGCGAGAGAGCTCGAGGCCGTCGTTGGAGCAGAAGAGCCAGTGAAGACTGAAGACCAGCTAGCTAGCCCTGGGACTACCCTGACTCGCTACTCTTATAACAGCCGAGCAGGGCAAGCCAGGGGCGACCTCAGAGCAGTGAGGTCTGTGTCCTTGTGAGGGCCAGGCTCATGTGGCTGAGGGTCGGACCTGAGCCGAAGCTGGGCCAGGTGAGTTAGCCTCTATAGGATGGTCTGGGTTAGAGAAGTGTAGGAGCTAACGGGGAAACGTTAGCCGAGGGACACTGCCTCGGATAGACCGGGTGAAGGGGCCGTTACCCCTTCCAGTGTTAGGGTGCGCTACGTACTGTATAGTACCCATTTGTTAATAAATACGTGTTGCCTCCATCAAACGTCTCCTGCGCTACTTATGCCGTTACAAAAGTATGAAAATGATTTGAGCTGGATTTCTTAAGTCACATGGAGAGGAAGGAGGAAGGGTGAATCTGGATCAAATTGGTTTGAGTTGGATCAACTACATGGTCAGAGATGCACATCGTCTAGGAAAAATATGATATAAATTTTAACCAGTGTTGTAAAAGTGTTTGTTACAGGATTTCTAATGTGACAGAGGTGTGTTTATTGTCAAAAAAGACTGACGTGCCGCTGAAATCAGTGAAGGGCTGAGGATCAGTTGGAAGCGTGTACAGCTCTGTTGAGAGGGTATTCAGGTGTACATCAGGTCATGCGATAGGACTCCAAGGCACCCCCTATACATAAAAAGGCCACAAGGACTCCAGCTTTACTTCGGGATGTATATAAACACATCTCTATCCAGCAAACACGTGCTCGGTAGCACCTGCGTCTCACCAACAGACAGGACTTTGGACCAACAAATAACTTCAAGTTTCTGAAGAGCTATTGTGTTTATACTTTGCGGTGTGGAGATGCTGGAAAATAGGGTTGTTTATAAGCTGAATTATTGCTCTTGTTTGGCATAAACTAAGTTGTGTTAATTGCTGTGTCACTGTGCTCCTGTTTGGGTGTGAATTATCTCATGGTATGCATATATATATGGAAGTGACTCCTGTTCAAATCTGACACATGCATCTCACCCATCGCGTGCTATTTCTCATGCCACTGCGAGACAGATCCCTCCTTAAAAAGAGTTGTGATAGTCGGTGAGGCTTTCTGTCTAATCAAGCAAAAAACAATAGCAATTACAGTTGAGACTAGGTTAGTGTTAGGGACAGGAGTGCTTCAACCAGTTTCACCACTCCTTTTCAGTAGGGATAGTCGTCTCTGCCCAGTCAAGCAGGCTAAGCATATATGGATGAATGGGTATTTAATGGAGTCTTTACCTTAAAATAGTGGCACATTATGTCGCGCTCCTTGTTGAATGACTTGTTTTCGTCTTCTCTACCACGTTGGTTCTCTGGCTTGCGTATTTTAAAGCAATGCTCCATGTAGTCGTCGGCAGTGCAAGGCGATCCATTCAACTTCAACGTCAGGGTGAAGTCGCGTACGCAGATGATGAGGGATGGGAAGTACTTGTCCAGATTCTTTGGGTTGTCTTTACGAGATCCTACCCTTGCTTGGACGTACTGCGCCATATCCTTTACATACCTGGATTGGAGTCGGAGTCAAGGACATTTACTGCATCAGTGTTTCGAACCTTTTACAGAAAAGGAGTCATTTGAGATCAAGAGAAAATTTATAAAAATACAAGACTTATGAAAAACGCAAAGTAAAACTTCTCAAAGCTGGACTAAATAGTGAACGATTCTTTCCATATATGGGGGGTGTGGCATACTTTCAATAATTTTATCATTTTCAATAAAAAGGTAAAGGTGCAGCCCTGAAATTCCTTTCTCATACAACTGTTGTGGAAGGTCCTTCACTGGAGATAGCTCTGGAGGATTTTTGCTGTATTTTTCCAGGTTTTAGGAAGAGGTGGGACCACCCACAGTTAACTCACTGCACGCGACCTGCCGATCGACTATGTGGAGTGTTAACCATTCATACTGCGGGGTGTACAGAGACAGTGGAGCTGATTATCGACAACACCCAGCTACCTGGAAAGTTAAAGGCCTGGTGTCTGCAGTTTGGTCTCCTACCCCGGGTGTTGTGGCCCCTAGCAGTGTATGAGGTTCCAATCTCAACAGTGGAGAAGATGGAAAGAGGAGTCACGAGCTACTTAAAGAAGTGGCTCGGAGTTCCACGATGCCTTACCACCATAGGCCTGTATGGAGATGGTGTCTTCAAGCTGCCCCTCACCAGTCTAACCGAGGAATTCAAGTGTGCAAAAACCAGGCTCCAGATGACACTGAATGAATCTCGAGACCCAGTGGTGAGCAACAACGCGCCGACCTTGGCAACTGGGCGCAAATGGAGGCCAGGAAAAGCAGTCCAGGAGGCAACAGCAGCCCTCAGACATGCTGACATTGTGGGTCATGTTCAGCAAGGGAGAGGAGGCCTTGGGCTAACTACCCGTGCTGCTTGGAGTAAGGCCACTGCACCAGAGCAGCGGAAGATGGTAGTGCAGGAAGTACGCCATCAGAAGGAGGCTGCAAGGTGGGCCAAGGCAGTCTCTCTTGCCAAACAGGGAAAGTGGACTCGATGGGACAGTGTGGAGAAGAGGAAGATCAGCTGGAAGGATCTGTGGGTCATGGAAGCGAGGCGGTTGAGCTTTTCCATCAGAGCAACATATGACGTCCTTCCAACACCAGTTAATCTTCACCAATGGTATGGTGAAGATCCGGACTGTGCCCTCTGTTCCATGCCAGCCAACCTCAGGCACATTCTCACAAGGTGTAAAACAAGCCTCACCCAAGGACGCTACACTTGGCGTCACAACCAAGTCCTTAAAAACCTTGCGTCCGCCCTGGAGGACAAGCAAGCTGCCACCAACTCCCTACCACCCCCAGCAGCATCACACCCCTTACGGACGACCTTTGTCCGCGAAGGGGCTAAACCACCGAAGAGCGGCTCTACACCATTAGAGCGAGACCAGCTGCGCTTGGCCCGCGACTGGAAAATGCTAGCTGACATTGGCCGGCAACTTGTGTTTCCTCCGAAGATCGCAACCACCACCCTAAGACCTGACATGGTGCTCTGGTCCCGTTCGCTCAAGAAGGTCTTCATCATTGAGCTCACAGTACCCTGGGAGGACTCAGTAGATGAGGCTTATGAGCGAAAACATCTGCGCTATGCCGATCTAGCTGCCAAAGCACGGCATCATGGCTGGAACACAGGAGTCCGACCAGTGGAGGTGGGCTGCAGAGGTTTTGTGGCAACATCTACAACCAGACTGCTTAGAGACCTGGGAATTAAGGGCCAGAGCCAGCGTTCGGCAATCAGAGCTGTATCGGAGGCGGCAGAAGGCAGCAGTCAGTGGCTCTGGATGAAGAGGAAAGACCCCAGCTGGGCCCCAAAGTGAGAGGGCCAGGAGGTATGCAGTCAACAATGCTTGACTCAGGGAGGAGGACACCCCTGTCATGCATAGTCCCATGGGATGTTGGCTATCAACAACAAGGCAACTCCTATGACTAATTGGGAATGGGACGCAAGCGTAGGATTGATCACCCTGTCGCTGGCCGCCTTTGGCGAGGGTGTATAGTATGAAAGGCCGAAACACCAGAGGAACCAAAGGTTCACTACTGACGATGCGCTCCCCAAATTTCACCAGGCTCACTGTTCATGAACTCTTGGAAGTGCTTGCACAAAGGATAGTAACATCTCATCCTGTGTTCTTTGGAATCCCCCATTGTTTCAACTGCCACAAGCGAGATCAAATCAAAACAACAACTTCTATTGCAAATCCAGTGTGCTAACGATTACATGAAGGCAGCTGTATAGTTGTTAAATACCTACATTTAAGTTATATGTATAAATCAATAACATCTAAAACAATGTTTAACAATAAACTAAATATTTACAACTTTATTATACTTTCAAATATCGCTATTGTACAATTTAATCCGAGTAACTCACTGTGCAGCAAATGAGTTTTTGCGGAATACAGAAGAGATTGAATGACGAGCTTGAAAAATGTGTTTTGTTCATTTGCCAAATAAATACTCTTTGGTTATTTCGGTAAAGTCACGTAGGCATAAATAAATAATATATCACAACGTTTCGATCGCAACACAAGCGATCGTCATCAGGCAAAACAGAACCTAGCAGTAGAGCTGCTGAAGAACACATCGAGAGGGCTGCTACAACAAGGGGTTATATATGTTTGAAGGGGGTGTAGCCCAAGGGTAAGCAAGCGGGGTCCGAGCTGGAATGGAGTCTCTTCCCCACACGCAAGCACATCAGTTGTGTTAATGGGGGAGATTAGAGAGAGATTAGTATGTCAAAGTACATGAGCTTACATTGCCGCATGAGAGCACTGTCGCTGCACATGCGCACAGCAGTAGTTTTAATGGAAGATTAGCACTATGATAATGGGGGAGATTAGGAAGAGATTGGGGAGATTAGCAAGTTAATGTCAAGTCTATGTGTAGCACAAGCTGTGGCCAGGCCTGTGCTGTGAGAGGAAAGCGCGTCAACGCAAGTGAACCACCGAAACAGTGGCCATGTTAGTGAGACCCTAGCCCGTTAATGAAAAGGCATCCCACAGGGCAATGCAACTCAGAGTCGGAGATAACATCCAAACGGTAAGAAGGATGGAAGCATCACAGCGAGTTATGACTTTACCAGGTTAATAACGTCCTACTAATGATTGCTCAAATTATACCCATCTTCTCGGTTGAAATTGTTTCTGTGTTTATATATTCGAATGGCTTCATGGACAAATCTTTGATGGTAGCCCGAAGGTTTGCAGAGTACTTTGGTGTCGGACAAAAAAATATCATGCGAGCCCACTGCATTATAACAATGACCAGCCACGGCAGAGGTATTGGTTCTGCTGTGTTTAAAATCTGCCTTGTGTTGGCAAACACGGTCCGAGACATATCGTTTCGTTTCCCCAATGTAACTGCTGCCGCAACCACAACTTAGTTTGTAGACACCAGGGTATTACATTAGTAACATCAGCAGGGACGAGTGCTCTGAACTCGCTCAAATGAAAAAGAGAATTGACATTGCCATCCTCTCAGCCGACAAGGGCAATGCCACTGTCATCATGGATAAAACCACATACAACAACTAAATCCAGGACCTTCTTAATGATGGCAGTTATACCAAAATCAACAAAGATCCTACCAATCGCCTGGCCACAAACAACAACAATATCATCACTAATTCAACTTCTCTAATCGAACCGACCAACAGCTCTCCCTAAAACCTACGGCTGCTAGACCACATAGATTTTATGGCCGTCCAAAAATCCATAAAGAAGGAAATACACTCCGTCCTATCGCTTACCACCATCAACTCGCCTACCTACAAACTGGCCCGATTTCTGTCTGAGACCCTGCTTCCATTCACGGGCCACCTCAGCAGTACTTAACTCAGCTCACTTGGTTTCTCTAATCAAGGACATTTGACTGTCCTCAAATGATTTGCTTGTCAGTTTCGATGCAGGTATATGTACCTGACATCATAGCAATCATTGAAGACTTGATCCAACATGGACTGAATCCTGATGTACCAACTTTGGTGAGGCACTGCCTTACCAACACCTACTTCACCTGGAATGGTACATTCTACTAACAAAATGAGGGTACCCCAATGGGTTCTCCCTTATCACTAGTGGTGGCGAATGTTTTTATGGAGAAATTTGAAACAGATGCCATCCTGACATCCACCTTCCGTCCTTCCCTGTGGAAGAGATACATAGATGACACTTTCGTCATCTGGCCACATGGCCAGCCAGCACTGAACCAATTTTTCAACCACATAAATTGCATACACCCTTCCATCAAATTCACCATGGAAGTGGAAAATGATGGCAAGCTACCATTCCTGGATGTTTTGATCGAGAAGAGGTCTGATGGCTCGTTGGGAACTTCTGTCTACAGGAAAGCCACCCACACGGATTACTATCTAAAGCCTGATTCCCACCACCATCCGGCCTAGAATAATTGCCTCATCAAAACAATACACCACAGGGCCCGCTGCATCTCCGACCACCGCCACCTAGCGAGTAAACTGGAGCACGTACACCAAGCCCTCAAGATGAATGGATATACGCAGACTGTACAATTCGCAAAGCTGTATCACCAACCATCTGAGGACCCAATCAAAACCATCACCTTGCCATACATAGCAGATGCTACCAAAAATATTTCCACAAATTTCAAACAAACACAAGATCAAGGTCTGATTCAGTACAGTACATAAAATCCGTGATTTAATTCCATCTGTGAAGGATGTCATTCCTGACTTGCAGTACCCTGGAGTCTATAAACTGTTGCAGCTGTGGTGATTGTTACATTGGGGAAACGAAACGTCATGTCTCTGATCATGTCCACGAGTACAAGTCAGATCTGAAACATGGCAAAATTGAGTCTTCCGACGTTGCCGATCATTGCTACAACTCTATGGGTTCCCATGAGATTGCCTTTTCCGAGACCAAGATGCTCTGCAAACCTTCTGGCTACCATCAAAGGTTTGTACACGAAGCCATCCAGATATACAAACACAGACATAACTTCAACCGTGATGATGGGTACAAACTGAGTAATCATTGTAAAGATGTTATTAACCACGCAAAAAATATTTAACTGCACATATTTGAACCATCTTATTTGACAGGTACTATTCTACTTTACCGAGTGTTGACATCCCCAGCGTTTAACAGTACTCTCGTCTCCTTTGTTGTATTTGGATTGCCAACCAACAACTCTCCTCTCCTTTTTTGGATTTGGATTGTCAACAAACATCGGGTAAAACATCAACAAGATGCACCAACTGTTCTCTTTTAGCCCCGCCCCCCCCTAACACGTTCCACTCATTGGCTTCCACATTCAGATAACCCCCTCCCCCTTCCCTCCCCCCTTAAACTTGTATTTAAGAGCTTGACTCTTGGAATTTTGCCTCACTTGAGACAGTAAATCTAGCTGTGACGGTCCCACCTGATGACGGAGACTTGTGTTGCCTCCGAAACGTCGTGATTTTATATTTTATTTCTATTATTATTTCAATTATATCTTTATTATTTATTTTTTACCTACGTGACTTTACCGAAAAACCTGAGAGTATGAATCCTTGCAGTCACGAAAGCTTCAAATCTAGAACCACGCAAGTATCTCGCCTCTCTCTGCTTAATGTGCTGCCGTGTGAGTAACTGATCGCTCTGTGAAGGATACAGTAGCTGCTCCAGGCCGGAGTGGTCCAAAGTCCCCACAGTGTTGTAGACCAGGATGTTGGAGAGCAGCACGGCCATGACGAACAACCAGATGTCATGCTCCTCATTGGCCTGTGGGACAACGGGTTTCTTTTAAATTATACACCAATATGTCTTACCCCTGCACTTATTCTCCAATGCCTTGGTGTTTGTGCTTTTGTTATTGCTGATTTAGTGCATACTGTAATTGTTGCCTCCAAGTTATGGTCAGTGCTGTTTTTATTCTTCTCTCATCTCTTGTACTCCTTTCTTTATCTATTATTTATGACGAGCTGATGCAATGGTTCTACCCCGTCCTCTTGGGTCTTCTACACATCTTTTCAGCTCTATATGCATCATTATATGAAACGTGGTATTTGAATAATATCCTTATGGTTATGTTGGCTACTGTACAAAGACCACGCTGTATGTAATTTAACACTTGTGTAGCGACATCGTGGATGTCACTGGGTAATGCCAGCTCTAGTGAAGCACGTCGTGCGATGTATTGCCATCACGGACACGCCGTATGTATGGGTGTAGTACCAGCCCTAGAGGAGGCTCGGTGAGCGCTGATTGACAGCGGTGTGTGGCACCACGCTCTTCGTGTAGTGCTGACCCCTATAGGGGTAGGTTGTGAGATTGCGGGACAGAGGAACAAGGTTACAATGGGCCATGGCACTATGGTTATCCCGAAGGACACGTCTCCAGTAAAGTCTACACAGGGCCCCAGGTGGGGGCTAGGAGGTGGTCACGTGTCGGGGCAAGATCCTACGGGAAAGGTCGAGAAACGACAAGAGGGTTCTCGAAGGTGGCCGTGGCTAAGGGCGGGGCCAGCCACGACCCGGGAGCATATAAACCGAGTCCCCACAGGGACTGGAGTCCAGCGTTCCTGTCGTCATCTGAATATCTACGTTATACGTCCGGGAAGATTCACCAACACGTGGACCTGGACCCAGGCTGGGGTCCGGTCCGTTGTAGCTACTCCCAGTGTGGTTAATGTACAGGGTGTTTAAAATGCATAGACCCGATTTAAAATCGCTATATCTCTGCAACCATGAACCACTCATGAATGAAACTCTTACCACTCTGAAAGGGCGGGGCATAGAGTTTAAAATGATTATTGCTAGGTGCCTCTCCTAGCGCACAAACAGCCCCTGGCCTCAGTCATTCGCAAGATGGTGACCCTGCAAGACAATGCGTTTTGCGCTCTGCAGTTCAGCAAGACTGAATCCGTAATTGCGGTGCAGTGTGCGTTTCAATGGCGTTTTGGCATTGATCCACCAATCTCAAAGAGCATTCGTCGTTGGTACCGACAATTTGAGGAAACAGGCTGTTTATGTAAGGGGAAGAGCACAGGGCGACCACGCACCTCAGAGGTAAACGTGAGAAGAGAGGCGTTTGGAACGAATTCAACTATCATCTCGATGTTGTCCATACAGCAGGTGGAGGGCATTTAGAGCATTTATAAAATGGTTAGTTAAACTTTATAACTCTTTAAACCGTTTGTAACTTTTCGTGTAATTGTAACATGTCATCGTGAAATATACAGCTTTGAAATTGGGTCTATCTTTTTCAAACACCCTGTAGTTTAGCCTGGTGGTCCACCACCATAGGCAGTTATATGGTAAAGGAGCAGTTACCCCTTTGTGTTAATGTGTTGGTATAAATAAATGTGTTGCCTCCTAGAAGTACGTCTGCGACTCAGTTTTAATCCACTATACTTGCACCGGTTTTGTATTTTCATTGCTAATGTTACAATTCAGTTTTCTGGGCTTTTGGCCTAAATGTTTTAGGAAGTTTTAAGCAAAATGTCATTCTCATTGCAAAATGTGGTTTTGAGAATTGTTCTTCAAATTACCGGTGTGCTAATATAATATTTTGTGCTTTAAACACTTGCTGACATGTTTGACTGTATCGGATATTTGAGGGATACACAACAACAATTTGTCCAGATAATTAGGTGGCCTCGCCAAAAGTACATTTTGACTTATGTCTTTGCTCATTCCCAAGCTAGAATACTCAGCCAGCACGGCTCCAATACATTTGGTTTGAATCCTGAGTCCCTGTCAGAAAATCACCATCATCCCACTCGTAATTATATGAAGCAAATCTGGTCATTTCCTGACTGGTAAATATGTAAACAAATGAGAAAGTAACTGGTGAAAAGATAAGATTATTACGAATGAATATGGAATCAACATACACATCCATTATTCACCAATAAACTGAGGTGATATCACCATGGCATTTTTCTCGAATAGGTGCAGTTTGAGGCCACACGAAGTGTTTAAGTTCACAAGCACGCAGTGACTGAGATGACTCGCAGATGCACCACCTGTGCTCCCCACTGTCACCATGTGTTTAGCCACCCATCGTGATGCTCATTGTTGTGAATATGCCTCCGCCCTCCGTGGTTGCTGGAGGGCCAACTTCCTCCAACTGCCTGGCATAGTCCTTCACGAGTCCCCTCTGCAGGGGCCAATGTTTACACCACTGGTACTTTTCGTGGCAAGTTTAATCAGCTCAAAATCGTCGCATAATACAACACCCCATCTTTTAAGTAATCTGCGCCATGCTCATTTAACCCCCTCTATCCAGCCACACAGAAGCTTTCTGGTTATGCAGTTGCTGCCCATGAGGGCTACATGGCCCTACCAATGCAACCTTCCATACCAAATGGGCTCACGAATGGGAATGCCCAGACCGTTCAATTACATTCAGCTCCAAATCCTTCCCACAATCACCAGTCAATTCAGCTCCAGATCCTCGTGTAACTCTGAACCCATCAGCTCACGTCTTCTTTTGTGCATGTTATGACTGATTCGTGTCCTCTAGCCAGATAAACAAGAGCAAGCTGGGAATGTATTGGTTAGGTACATAGGCTGCATGACACGACCAAGCATAGTTATTAGTTGTTGCACCTCTGATGGATGATGTAGGCCTCATGTCATGCACTGAATTGGTCTGGCCTGAGGAACAATGAACGGTCTAAACTGTATTTGGTCCCAAAGTCGGGGCACCAAATGGAGATTCTATCACTACTGTGTTTCATTTTTTTTGTTGTTGGACATTTCTCCAAGCTGATTTGGGTCAGCTGCAGTCCTTCCACAGGCGATACTAAAGACGCCTTTTTGGCGTCAGATGGTAACATTTTGTAATAAATGTCACGATTACATCTATGACTGACCAGTCTTCTATAGATTGAGAGCTTACTTCAAAGGAAACAGCTATTACTCTGTGGATGCATTGCCCAACTTGATGCACAAACTCCAGCAAATTGCTTACTTCAATTGGCGGTCGACGTTTGAAGCAGAGTGACCTGCAATAGAATGGCACTGTCCCCATATTCACTTCCTTGACACATGTGTAGGGGTGTTAGATAGAGAGCCGTTATGCATGGCAGCTTATGGGAAACAAACACAGTGGGCGGGGCTACGTGAGTGCACGGAGGGGTGCTCTCAACGACGTCCGCACCGGGCAGCCCGGGGCCCCACCCCTCAGCGGGGGTTGAGTATAAAAGGGGATGTGTCAGAGGGCTCGGGGGGAATGTTAAGCTAACGAGAAGACTGAAGACATCTTAGCTAGAGCCCTGGACTCCCCTAGTTCGACGTCCTTATCAGGGCCGAACAGGATCGAGCCAGCGGCGTGGTTCCGAGAGCCAGAGCCGGTGCTCTTGTCAGAGCAGGTCTGGGACTCCGGGTACCGGGCCCGACTTACCAGTGTCGGGCCAGATAGCCTCCCCTAGCCCGTTAGTGGAGGACTAAGAGGCAGGCTAGGGTAGCTAGCGTGTGTATTCCCAGCTAGCCGGGTGAGGGGGCCGATACCCCCTCGAGTGTTATATGCCCACTGTTGTGCTGTGAAATAAACCCATGTGCCTCCAACTCCGGCGTCAAGAGTCGTCAACGGTATTACATATGGTGTCAGAAGTAAAAATCTACGAACATGGACACGCGCCGGACAGCTCGAGTCAGGATACCGGGGGCGGAGGACACCGCTGCAGTCGGAGAGCCCGGGATGGGTGAAGAGAGCACGGAGCAGTCGGGGCCAGATACGGCTACGCCGCAGCAACAGGAGGGTGGGGAGGTGTCGGCAGAGGGGCTGAGGCAGGCGCACGCCAAGCTGATGGAGCTGCTGCACGCCGCTGCCAGCATGCTGGACCAGATCACTCAGCTGGGGGCTGCTGGACCGCCACGGGGCGACGAAAGCCGACGACCACAGCGCCTTCCCGCCATTTCGGCGGAACACCAATTTGAAAATCCCGCCATCACCGCAGCTGCAGTTGAGGGCGTGGCCGGCCTGAGCATCGCGTCCAACAGCGGGCATATAGTACCTGCCGCGTCATCGCCAACGGACGGGACGTCACCACGGGTGCGACCGGCGATGCCATCGGTCGTGCGCGCCGAAGCAGAGCCGGGTGAGGGGAACGAGGAAGGGCGACCTTCTGCGGCAGCCGCTGCGCTACATCAGCGACTGCCTCCACTCAAAGAATTTGTGGGCGAGGAAGGCGACTGGGGCGGCTTCCAGCGGCGCTTCCTCGCTCACCAGGAGATGGCGAAGTGGACGGACGCCGAGGCTCTCCGCGCGCTGCCAGCACTCCTCGACAGCGACGCCCTCGCCACTTTAACATCGGCACCGAAGGAGAGGCGCTCTACGCTGCAGACGGCGATGCAGGTGCTGGCTGCAGTTTACGGTCCGCCGTCAGACTGTCGCCAACTCTTCTACGATCGCCAGCGGGGGGCAAAGGAGTCGCCTCTGGCGTACCGCACAAGCCTCCTGGCACTGGCAAAGGCGGCCTTTCCACGGATGGACAACGAAGGTGTCGACGCCATGGTTACGGAGAAGATACTCCTGCTGGCGGACGACTTGGAGATCGTCATCGTCGCACAGGACGACGCGGAGATGTGCTCCCTCCAAGCAGCACGACTCCTCCACGCAAACCTGCTCGCGCAATGACGCAAGGCCAGCAAGGCGGCGAGCGGGCGTACCGTGGCCGCAGCCACCCTCCCGGCGGAGGAGATCTGCGCCATCGACCATCAAGGGCAGCAGGGAGCGGGAGTACGGGCGGACCGGGGCGGCTCGAGCCATCCCGA